CAAGGGATAAAAATGGATGGAAGAAGGAAGAAGTAAAAGAAATATATGTGTGAATTTCAACTTCATTCAAGTGCCTTACTTGTTTATAATCTTTTGTGTCGTAAAGTTTTATGGTCTATTGAAAGAAGGAGGAAGGTTATGACTATGACTATGTAAGAAAGGAGTAATAAGGTGGAATTGAGGAGGTTGGATGGGGTTTTATTATGGTTTGGATGATTATATATTTGGATAATTTGTATTTTGAGGTTAGATTGGGGTTTGGTGACCTTAGTTAGAGTTTAAACTCTAGGAAGATTTATTTTATGAGATTTTGAGTAGTAAATGTAGCGACTGCTCGAGGAGAGTATTTTTAGGAGTTTATCTGACCTAGGACCTTGATTTGATCTGCTTAATTTAGTTCATGAACCTTAGAGTTATCAATGACTTATGAAATGTAGTGTAAACTCTTATAAAAATGACTAGATTTGCTAAATTAATAAGTAAGAACTACTTTTCAACCAATAACATGAATTTTTAACATTACTTGCCCTTTTTAGAATAGAAATTCGTAGTTATACAGCCCTTAATTTTTTTATTTTTTTTTAAATTCGTAGTTTGACACCCTTTATAAATTTTATTACTTAAAATTTTGTTTTAAAATTAATTTCTGATCACCAAAATTTTTTTTTCATGAACTAAGGCAACAATTTCATATTTTTCCTCAAACTCACTTCCTCCATTCAATCTCAACTCAATTTACATCTTTCTAAAAATCATAAAAAATTTTCATGCGATTTTAATTGAATGTAGTTGAATTAAGTTCTTCAATCTTTCCCTTCAAAGTAGCCGCACTAATTACAAAAATCATTTTAATCTATGAAAAGTTTACGAGAATAATAAAGTTTTTATAACATTTCTTAATTTTTAAATTATAGATTGAAAATAGCTTGTGAGAACTTCACAGCATGAGGTGAAACTGCTGCTATTTTATTTGAGAAATTACTTACAGGAATTTAACGAGTTGAAATTTGCGAAAATTTGTTTATTACTAGGAATTGTTAGATTAGGTTTGGGAGTGTATTTGAAGTTTTAGGGAATAATTGAGCAGTATTTGGGTGAGTTTATGAGACAGGAGTGTAGCTTTGTGTGGTAAGGTATAGACTTGCAGTTCCAAGTTTGAATAATGGGGATTTGAGTTGTTTCTAGAGCTGAGCTTTTTAAAACAGGTGCATCTGGTACATTGGCTTTCAAATAGGTCGTATCTGAGGTTGTGTCACTCGAAAAAAGCGAATATGAAGCCCATGACGATAAGGAAGCAAAAGTCAAAGGTCTTAATTTCAATTAATGACAGAAGCTAGCAAACACGTCTCCATTTTATATAATTTCATATTGAAGTATCAAAATCTGATCAAAATGCACACATTAAGCTAAGGGGCCGTTCACTTATGATGTCCGACATTTAAGCTAAGCTTCAATCATTTAACCCACAACCCCCAAAATTCCATTCCTTCAAAAAAAATCTTCCAATTAAAATCAAAACCAAACCAAAGAACTTAATCATTTTAGACAAATTTCACTACCAAAAAACTTGTACACGATAGACACTTAAGCAATCATAGCCGCAATAATAATAGCAGCAACTTCTTTGAATGTTCTACTTAGAAACAATAATAAAAAGTAATGAAAAAAGAAATCCATGGCTGAATGAAAAAAAAAGTAGAAGTAAAGAATGAAAAATGTCTGAAAATAATATAATTTGCGGCTTCCAACAAACAGTCGCCACAAGTCAATCAAAGTAATATTAAACGGATGTAGTGAGGCACACAATAATGAGGATTGAAGGAAAAAAAAGAGCGAAAATAAAAAAAAAGTTTTTCGTTCACCTAAAGCCAAATTAATATTTATGAAGTTTTTTTCTTTGGATATTGTATGTGTATTGTGGAACATGTGAAGGCGCACATGGAAGACGAAACTATTAAAAAAAATCACCTTTCACATTGATTAATTGTATAAAATTTTTCATTTTTCTTCAAGCCGATCTACATGAAGCGATATGTACATTGCGTTGCTGTGTTATTGTTCATCATAATAATTTTATTTTTTTTTTATGAAGAAAAAGTAAAATTTCTACTCATTTATGGTCAGTTAGTGTTGTTATGAGGTGATAGGGATGGTAACTTAGAGGATTTGGGAGTTCTGGTCTTGTTGAACTTTTTTAACAGTGCGACACTAACGAAGAAGGTAGTATGCCTTATTTGTGGAACCTACTCTTATCTAGTAACTCAGAAGCTTCAATTTGAGTTCCAAAAAATCACTAAAATCAATAAAAACCCAAAATTAGCACCCCCTAGCATCCACAACTCAGTATTTCTCTTCAATTCTTCATACTTTTATTTTAAAGATCCAAAACAAAAAAAAAACCAACTTATTGCATTAAAAATCACTAAATTAGACCCATCAAAGGCAGTCGGTACCGTTTGAAATTATAAAGCTCTCAATATTTCATTAAATTGTCTCAAGGTCAACCGTATCGAATACTCATGACAATAATGAGCATTAATGGGAGCTGATTTAATGAAATCATTGACACATTTAGAAATCTACTTTAATTACATATTTAGTTGCATAATTTTTTGTTCGGCAATGATGAGGGACTCGGCAAAGGAGGTGCAATGATTAATTATGACAAATATTTTTTTCAACATTTGAATTAATTTATTTTTTTTTTTGCAAGATGATTTGAAGCTTTTTTTGTAGATTGCGGATGTAAATAAAGACTATTTGCGAAAAAACAAGTGAACGATTACTGTAATTTTGTGCATTTAATATAAATGACTAGCAATTTATAAGAAAATTGAATCTTTTGAACTAGCAATTAGAAATTAAAAGTTGTAGTTGAGTGTAGGAAACTTAGAATTGTTCAGAATTATTGCTGGAATTTTAATTTTATTTTATTTGTTGAGTTTTTATGTGAATTTGTTGTTAAATTGCATTTTTTTTATGATTTTTAAGTTTGAAAAATTGAGATGAATTTTAGATGATTTTTAATTTTTTTTTAAACATTGACTCAAAAAAATAATCATTAATAACTCTTTTTGCTCAACAATTGAATTTTTCACACACTCAAAAATAATATTCCGATTTATTCAGAACAATAAAGCAACAAGTCTTCCATTAAGTGTTTTTTAATTTAATTATACTCGCCGATAATCTGCAATTAGCTTCTTTAATATCTTCTTAATATAGCAAAGAAAAAAGTCAAATATTAGCTGAAGCTTTGTTTTTTGCCGCAAATAAAATACTCAAAATCAATTTTGAGTATCTAAGGTGATTATTGAAGTGCTTAATATATTTTATTGTGAAATATTGCAAATTTATTGACTAAACATTAAAGTTAAAAATCATAAATTGTGTGATTTTTTTTTAAAATTCTTAAAAAATTCACAAAAATCTTGGAAAAATCTTGAAAAAATCCCAAAATTCAAAAATTTTAAAAAATTTAAATTTTACTTTCATAAAAGAATTTTAAAAATTCAATAATTATTAAAAAATAATTAAACAAATTTCAAAATAATTATTAAATCATTCAATCAAAAAAAGTCTGAAAAATCTCACAGAAATAAACTCATCAGACTCTCCATTCACATTCAATTCACATCATAAAAATCAATTTGTCATGAAAAAAAAACTTTATCTTTAATTCATTGAAACACGACTTAAGCTACTTGAATAGACTTTATATATTCACAATATTCAATAATAATAATATTCAGCCATAACAATAACAGCGAACAGAGTCAAAATTCATAAAAAAAATAAGTTTCAATTCACACATGAAATAAAGACGAATAAGAAGAGATTTGGAAGAAGGCAAATGATGACTGCTTGACGGACACATGAGAGAGAGATGAACATTGTAAATAAAAATAAAGAGGAAAACAAAAGCAAGAGAATCATTAATTTGTTAGAAGAGATCACTCAACAAACAATTTTTTTTCCGTCTTCTTTTTCCCAACAAAAAGGCAACAAAACTTCAATTTTATATTTATATACACATCGCTGCCTCGCTTTGACAAATGAACGTAAATAACAGGTTTAAGATTAAATAAAACTTATTTTCTTGACGGATCTTCGATTTTTTGCTTGATCCCTTATGCTGAAGTCAGATGAGACAAATAATAATTTATCATAATCTATCTGGTCGAAACGGAAAGAGCATGTTGTCTGATATTTGGGGTGTCCATTTGTTCAGTTATAAGATGATACAGTCACGGTTTTTTTTTCTCTCTATGCATTACATTGTTTTAAGTGACTAGATTGGCAGAAATGATTTTTGGTTTAGATTTTTTGAGATGATTTCTTTTGAGACTACTTAATGCGGGAATGTTGATGGAAGTAGAGTTGAGTATGAGAAATTTGGACGGAATCTATATACTAAGAAATTTTTAATAGAGTAAATGAAGATTTTACAATTTTGGATAGAATTTGAACTGAGATGTTGACGATTATTTATGAGAATCTGCCAGTATAAGGAAATGGCATCTATGGCCGAATGGTTAAGCAATCCACCGGTCAACTGTCATCTTCTCTATTCCTAGGAAGTGAGAGTTCGAATCCTATCAAATTTTCATATATCAATCACTTGATTAGTGTCTATATTACAAGATGTGCAAGGAGCACTGCATCGTGGATTATTTAAGTGACTTAATAACCAATCCTGAACCTCTCTAAACATCGAATATCATCAGATTTAAGTTAAAGGATACACAAGATCCAATTCATCAAATCTCAAACCCAACAATATTATTCAACTTCAACCTCCAACCTTCCTTAATAGAGAAGTAGAAACAAAAGAGATTGAAAAATTAGCTTTTTCATCCTCTCATTTATGAATTATTGCCGCACATTTGTCTCTGTTTTGAGTGTTGAAAAAATTAAATAAATTACATCAAAATAATTTTTTTTAAAAAAAATGTTCATCGTCGCCGAAGACTACAAAACAATTAAAGAAAAGGACTTACTTTGAGAGTTATTTTTCCTCGCTGTCTTCTTTTCTTTCATCCATGGATATTCAGGCACAGGATCACCATCAGATGGCGTTCCACCATACGACGATTGTTCCATTTTTGGACTTGAGTCGGGTCCTAAATGTGTCAAAAATTCAGCCATTGATGGTTGTGAATTTATAAATCCGGTTTCTGTAGGCATCCAATAAGCATTGTCACGCGTTTTATCACAGTTTGCAGGCAATTTGGAGACGGGCGACTGATGTGACTGTCCATTTTGTTGTGACGGCGGTATTTGAATTGGATTCATCGGTGGATTGCTTAACAGCACTGTCTGCAATGGCATCAATGATGCTTCGGTCTTTATTTGCGGATCAATTACACTACAAACTTCTTGCATGGTTAAAATAATTTTTTTTACAAGTTCTATTTTTAAATTGTTTAGTCACACACACTGTACTGTACAGCTATTAATTCTTATTATTCCTTCTTATTATTGCACATATATAAAAATTATAAAAAAAATTATTCACAATGAATGCACAGCAAAAATAAATTAAAAGCCTTCACTTCATTGCAATTGTTGGAGGAAATTCTATGTGAATTTTTTCTTTTTTATTTCTGCAGCAATTAACTTCACATGTAACGATTTAGAATGAACAAGTGTACGATTAATTGTGACTTTGATTTATTTTCATAATTGTCATAGATTTCATTATTTTATTGCTGCTGACTTATTGTTGCGTAATGTTTTATGTTATAAATATAGATATGAAGTTGATTTCGGTGCTTTGCACTGCGCTTTGATGTATAAAGTTGCAAAATACTAGGTTAGGCTGCTATTTTACTAGTTTTTGCAGCTAGTAACTAGCTTTTTACTAGCTTCTACTGTTATTTATTGGTTTTTGCACTTCACTTTGCAAATTAAGTCTGAGCTATGCTAATATCCAGTTTTTTTTTTTTTTTAAATTAAACTTTTTATTTATTTACATTTAAATTTAAGTATGTACAAAGTTTCTATACATTTTGTTGCTTTTTGTTTTAAGGTTTCAGGCATTCAATTTGCCTTTTGTCTCTTAATTTTGATTTCATTTACGGATTTTACTTTCTTTTGTATTTCATTTGATTTATTCGGTGTTTTGAGATGCAAGACGACTGTTGAAGTTCGCTTGCAACTTTCCGACGTAGTCTTCGATGGACGGTATTTTCGCTTCTGTATGAAGATCGGTGATCCTTTCATATCTTGTTTTATTGAGAACAATTCTCAAGAATTTGTTTTGCAGTACTTGAAGTTTTTGAAGGTGGGTTTTTGCCATGCTTCCAAATGCTGGACAACCATATGTGAATATTGGTCTGATGGCTAGCTTGTAGATGAGAAGTTTGTTTCGTACGTCGAGTTGTGAGTTCCTGCTGATGAGCGGATAAAGCTGTCTTAATGCGGTGTGAGCCCTATTGGTCACATACTCCACATGCGGCTTTAATGTCACTCTCTTGTCGATCACCATTCCCAGATATTTAGCTTCTGTTTCCCATTTGATGTTTTCGTTGAGAAATTTGATGTTATTTCCTGGTAGTTGCCTGGAGTGCCTGTTTGTGATGAATAAGGCTTGAGTCTTCTGTTTGTTGAGGTTGATCTTCCATTTGTTCATGTATTGTTGAACTTTTCTTCCTGTGTGCTGTAGATATGTCACAATATCAGCCGAGTTCTCTGCAGAATGATACAGTGCTGTATCATCTGCGAAAAGACCGATGTTGTTGGTTGTCTCTCTTACAACATCATACGTGAAGATGTTGTAGAGAGTTGGTGAAAGCACTGCTCCTTGTGGCACTCCGTATTTGATTACCTTGATTTCTGAGAACTGACCTTTAATAAAAACTGCGAAAGATCTTTCACTGAGGAAAGATCTTACAGTTTTTATAAGTGGCAGTGGAAATCTCAGTTTGAGCATTTTGTACAAGAGTCCGTTATGCCAGACTCTGTCAAATGCTTTTTCTACATCCAGGAAGATCATGCCTGTTGACTTTTTGTTGTTTAAGTTTTCTTTTGCTGATTTGATCACTTTGATGAGCTGGTGAGATGTTGATCTTCCAGTCCGGAAGCCGCACTGCTGGTTTGGGATGATGTTGTTATCCTCAAGATGATCGTTGATTCTATTCAGTAATACTCTCTCCAGTATTTTGCTTATTGAGCTGAGTAGACTTATTGGCCTGTAGCTGCTTAACTCATTTGCTGGTTTTCCAGGTTTTGGAATAGGAATCACTTTTGCATGTTTCCAAACTTTGGGGAAGTGGTTGAGTTTCAGACACGAATTGATGATGAATTTCAAGTATTCGAAACCTTTTTCAGGAAGATTTTTGATGAGTATGTTGTTGACTTCATCTAGTCCCGGAGCTTTTGGATTTTTCAGATTTCTTATGATGCTCACGATTTCGTTTACATCTGTTAGTTCTGGATTCTCATCATTGTCTTGTTCCAATGCTTCTTTGACTGTGTTGTTTACTTCCTGTGTATGTTGTGGATCGTTTTGTTCCAGAGGATTTTCGTGAGCTTCACGAAAATACTCGCTGAGTGCGCTGGCTTTTTCTTTGTTGGTGATGAACGTTTTACCCAGATTTGTCAATGGAGGCATTGTTTTTGAACCTTTTTTGCAAAATTTTGCTATTCTCCAAACTGTTTGGTTTGACGGTTGAATCTCTGAGAGACGCTTATTCCAGTTTTTGTTTTTGAGTTCTTTAATTTTCTCATTGATGACTCTCTGCAGATAATTCAATTCAGATTTGAGTTGATTATCTCTGCTTCTCTGCCATCTTCGACGAAGACTCCTTTTTGTGTTGATTAGATCTTTAATCTCCGGTGTGAGTTTAGTTGATTCGAACTTGATCTTTTTCATTTTTACACTTGAGTTCCTCGCTTCCATGATGAGTTCAGAGAGAATCTTAATGTGATTCTCGATCTCATCTGTTGTATTGCAAGAATTTTCTCCAATGTTGTCTTCAATGCGGCGTGAAATTTGTGCTTTGAACTTTTTCCAGTTTGCGTTTTTGTAGTCATATCTGTAGACTGTATTTTCAGTTCTGTCGATTTTTGATGTTTTGATTTGGAAATACACAGCGCAGTGATCACTCATTGCCTCTGTGCATTGAAGTTCTGTTGTTTCGAGGTTGGAATTCGAGAGCATCAGGTCAATTGTTGACACTGATTTGTTTCGATCTTCTGGGTAGTACGTTGGCGAGTCAGGAAAGTAGATCATGAACTCTCCTGACATTTCCTGAAGAATATTTCCTGATTTATTTGCAACGTTGCAGTTCCATTCTCGATGTTTTGCATTGAAGTCTCCACAGATGTAGTAATTTCCTCTCAGATTTGTTATTTTGTTGATGTCATCTCTCAGGTGTAGATCTATTTCCCCTCCTTTGCTTCCTCCTGGGAGATAGACTGAGAGGATGTGACAACTATCCGTGTCATTGATGAAGACTTTGATTCCAATGCATTCCATTAGTTTTGTGTTGTAGCTTGGTTGAAGCTGATGTTTTAGATTTCTTTTGACGATGATTGCAACACCACCCTTTGGTCTATCCACGCGATCCAATCGATGAATTACGTAGTCTGGATGCGAGTCAATTTTTGAGTTTGGTTTTAGGAATGTTTCTGAGATGCAAGCAACATCGACGTTTTGCTTGCTTAGGTAGTCGAGAAATGCTAACATTTTGTCAGTGAGGCCGTTAGCATTCCAGTAGAGGACGTTGATACTTTGTTGTCTACAATCCATTATTGTATGCGGTGTTTTTGGCACTTGAGCCGATTGCTTGGAGTATTTCGTCGATGAACTCTGGATTTTTGGCGATTAATTTGAGAAGCTCGCTGATAAGGTACTTGCACTTTGATTCCTCTATTTCTGAGATGTTTTTATCTCTTGTGCTGGTGCTTTGAGCTTGTTGATTAGTTGTTATGTTTCGATTCACTACCTCAACACTGAATGAAGGTTCTGGGAAGACTTCATTCGAGGTCTGACTTGTTGCACTGATGTCTTCTGAGTCCATAAGCTCAACATCTTGCTTTGGTTTTTGATGTTGATTGTTATTAATGCGCTCGTTTTGCTTTTTTCTTTGATTCTTTTTCCAATGTTTTCCTCTTTCTTTATTGTTTTGTTGGTTGTTCAAGTTATTTTTATTTCCCTGATTTGAGGGTTTGTGATTTGGAGGAGGATTTGTGTTCCTTGGTTTGTGGTTGACTGGAACTTGTTTTTGATGAACAGGCTTTTGTGTACCAGATGTTGATGGTTCCATATACTCCTTTCTCCATTGAGGTTTTGGTGCATGTTGGACGTTTCTGGTTGATCTCTCAGGACGATGCGGTGTTGGAGGATTGTTTCTCCGTTGTCCATATGAATAATGGCCTGCTGTTTTGTTTTGATTTTGGTTGTTTCCATTCTGTGATTTTGATTTCCATTTTTCAATTATTTCTTGTCTGGTTTTACAACCTGTGAAAATTGCTGTATGTTTTTCACCGCAGAAGAAACATTTGAGTTTTCCGAGTGGAACCTTGTTGGTCTCTTTCGATATGTACTGGCACGTTTTCGAGTCATGTTGCTCAGAGCATCTGAAGCAAACGGACGGTTTGTTACAACCGTTTTGTCCATGACCAAACTGCAGACATTTCGAACATTGAGATGGACCAGCTTGTCTATTTTTGTAGTCAGCCCATTTAATTTTGAAACTGCTGACAATTTTGATTTTTCTGAGGAATTCCAGGAAATTTCCACCTTGTTCTACATCTTTTTTGAAGTACACGAGGTAGTTCTGGTCGTCGTCTTGTTCGTGTCTTTTGTGTTTCATTGTCATTTTGACAATTTTTACTGGTGTGATTTTTACGGTTTGAAGTTCCTTCTCCAACTCACTGATTTCCATATCTGGGAGTCCATAGAGTACGTACTTCTTCAGTGGTTCTTGGCTGGAGTATGTGTGGAAGTGATGCTTTTTGTCTTTGAGTAGTTGGATGAATTTCTCGTAGTAATCCCAACTCTCCGTTGTTACCGTTTTTGTTCCTTGTTTGCCCTTTTTGGTCTCAATTAAGAAACTTCCAGGTTGATTGTTTATTTCATTCGTCAATCTCTTGATTTCACCAGCTCCTCCTGTGCTGATGACAATTGGAGGTGGTTTTGATTTTTGTTGAGATTTGTTGTTGTTGCTTTCCGTGTTTACGGAAATTGTCTTTTGTTGCTCTGATGTTTTGCTGTTTTCTCCCCAGTACGAAGAATTTGTCGATCTTTTTTTCTCCTGTTCTGGTGAACCAAATAGATACGGTTTTCCAGAAGACGAAGCTTTCTTCATTGGTGGGAGTACGAACAGTGGTTTGTTTCCATCTTTTGGTTTGCTTTCGTTTGCTACTCTTTTTAAAAGAGCGTTGTGAACAATCACTTCTCGAGGGCGTTTTTCTGCTTTACTTGCTTCATTGAGAAACTTCTTTATTGATATTTGTTTTTTTGGTTTGAGATTTGTCATCTCAATGTCGGCTGCTTGTGAAACATCTTCACTGAAAATTTCCTCAATATTGAGAATTGTCACTGAAGATGAGTGCTGATTTTGAGAAAGATTTTCTTCGTTGTTGGTAGTTTTTGGTGATGCTACCATTTTGATGTTTTGAGAATCAAACTGAGATTTTGAAACTTTTTGCAAACAAAAAGCTTCTCAGGTAGTCTCTGTTTTGTTTCTTTTGAGATTTTTGAATAATTTGCGGAGCGATTTGTAAACACGTCTGTTCACGTTGAGATCTAGTTTGCAACTCGAGCTAATATCCAGTGAATTAGATTAAATTTTGCTAAATTCTACTCTATGGACTAAACCTTTGCTGCTTTAGATTGAAACTAGCTTTTATATAATAGTCTTAACAATAAATCATCAAATCTTTTGTGTCATAAACTGCAAATCATGGATTTAATGCATTATTTCAAGCTAATCTGTAGTTTTAGAAGTTGTGGTTATAAATAATGTGGACGTGTAGATTTTATTGCATAGGTCTTTTGTATTTATCGCGAAATCTTGCAATTTAGATCTTAAAACTTTAATTTGTTTAGTCACGATTAAATTAATAGAAGATTATCAATGTGGCTTTCTATGCTTTTTCGTTGCATTTAATTGTGATTTTATGTAAAATGGCTTTTTGAATTTTATGTTGAATTGTTTTTAACTTTTTATGCAGTTGCTTCTCAAGTTTGAATTTTTGTAAATGATTTGATCAGTTTTAGGTTCAATTTGATTTCTTTTGTGAAGAGTTTTTCTTAATCATAGATCTTTGTTTTCTTTAATCTAGCATTGCACACTTCTTTGTTCTTGAATCAGCATTTCACTTTTATTAATTTTTCAGCTGTCGACCTCGTTTTGTATTCTTTTGATTAATAGTTTTTGAGTTAAAAACTGCCATAAACTTTTAAAATTACACAATTTACTTTTTAAATTTTTTTTTTGCAAATGATGAAAAATTAAATCTTGAATTGAAAATTAAGATTTTTCAATTCAACCTTTTTACTGGAAATTGATGAAATTCATCAATAAAGTCTATGGTTAAGATTGTGATCTTTTTAATTGTTTTGTATTATTTTCTAAACTAAATTAGTCATCGATTAGTAACAAATTTGACTTGCAACTGTTTGTTTTTACTTCTTATTCAACATTTCAAATGATGTCAATTCAAAATTCTATTTCAAAGTTCATTCGTTTAAATCACAACTTGTCAAACATTTATTATTCTGTTTAATTTTCTTGAATCATTTTTCACAGTTTTCAAAATCTTATAAATCACATTTCCATTCTTATCAGTTCACGTTCTTTATTTCTTTAATTTTCAAAAATTTTCAATTTTTTTCCACAAAATCAAAAAACATTTTTCAACTCAAAAATTCTTTTTTAATTCTTTTCATACAAAAAAAACCAATTCCCGATCCAAAAAATAAAGATTTTTTCATCACGCGACACCGCGACTAAAAAATTTCCCTGCGAACAGCACACAAAAAAATTTTATTCCCTAAAATATCCGCGGTATTTGACATGAAAACCTTCTACTTGAGTAAACTGACAAACGAATAATAAAAGCATTGAAACGTGTACGGAGTGAAAAAAATGTTATTTTTTCTTTTCTTTCTGCTTTTTCACATTGGAGGCGTTGCCAAATGTGCTGTCGATGTGTTTGTATTGGTTTGTACACAGTCAGTTGATATATTTTATTCATACAGCATTAAAGCTTTATTTATTCTTTAAAATGCTTTTTTTTTTCAAATGTGGCGGCTGCGTATTTGGACTTGATAGGTGGAGCATCTGCGCTCCAAATGTGTGTGGATGTGCTTTTTTCTCGTAAAGTCTCGTGAATAGAAAAATATCAATGTACTGAATATTGAGAATGTAAAAAAAAGTCAGATCTTCTGACTGGAGCTGTAAAATGTTTTAAGGAATATGTTGAAGCTTCATGTGGATTAGCAGGCCACGATTGAATGAATAGAACGATGGATTAATTGACGTTATCATATCATGTGTATCACATTTCATCAAAATGACATTCATATTAAAAGTTTCGACTCATGCGGATCGCAGGGGTGTAGTTGAGAATTTATTGAGGTGGGCTATTGAGTTTTGGAGATGGATGGACGGTTTGTAAAGTTTTGCATTAGAACATTAAATCAGGATTTGAGCCTAGACCTTCACACAGCCAAGAATCTCACCACAATAATTTTTTTGCCTCACTCACGCCAACATCAAAGCAAGAAGAGCATCAACTGTCAATTCTACACAACGACAAACAAAGACTTTACTGTATACACAATTTTTACTTCTCTTTTGCAAGTTGCCATGAAAAAAAAAATTCATCTCTTATCAGTTTCTTGTAATTTTTTTTATTGCGAAATTGTTGTAGTAAAAAAGAATCGTAAGTTGATAGGAAGCAGTGCTAGATGTATAAAAATCTCACTATTTAGTCACAAACATTTCTCTTTTTTTCGGTATGATATGAAATGTTGAACTCATTAGGACTGACTTCTTGTTAGAAACTTTAACTTTAACCTGGACGAAGATGGAAAGGAAGTTTGAAGAGGATGATTAAGTTGAGGTTTAGGAAGCATTTTTTTGGGGAGGGGGAGAAAAGGAAGTACAATAATCTAAGCAGTAGCTCTAGTCGCCTTCTTATTACTAATGTCCTAGTGCTAACCGAATAATGTTCAACAATTGACACTGACTGAACAAAATTGGAACCTCATATGACTGCATTAAGTCTGCAAAAGTCAAAAATAATTTCCAAAAATGGATCAATGTCTTAAGGCCTTATGCTGTAGCTAATACCTCAAAAAATAATTTTTGTCGCTTTAAACATTCGAAACATTTGTCTTTTAGCCGGAACTAACCCAGTTAAAACAAGGCAGGTGGTCTAAATAAGATTAATGTTGATTATTGCAGCTACTCCGTCAAATGTCAAAACATAATTTGCCAGATATGACTATAGTCAGCCTATAGAAAAATGCTCAAGCTGCCTCAAATTTCAAGTCACATCTCCCCAAAAATTCATCCTCAAACCTTAAAGATTCCTTCGAGGACATCAAGAGTAAAGAGTTGTTGCTTATCACAAACGACCGTCAACTGTAGACATAAAAGAAACTATAAGAAATGGAGAAGGAAAAAAATGGAGGCAAACCTGCTCCGCAACCGCAAATTAAAAAAACTTATAATATTAAATTTATGTTTGAGTTCCGAAAGCATTTTTTTTATTTTATTTCTTCTTTTCTTTTTCTCCATAATTCTTACATGAAAAAAAAAATTTAAATTGCTTGTACATGTTTCATTCTTTCATTCTACTTTTAGCATTTGCTTTTGCCTTCCATTCTGATATATTAATTTAATGAAAGAAACTCACGCAAGGTATCGCGCTGGAACAATATTCAGAAATAATAACTGATTTATCTTACTTGTTCGGTATATGCTACTTATTACATGTACAAATATACATAAAATATGTATATGTAGACTTACATTACATATCTCTTGTGGGGGATTTTGTCAGATTTGTTTGGGGTTTGGTGAAGTAGGTTGATGGCTTAGTCGATTTGGCAAGGGATTTTTATTGTGATTTTGAATTAATATGGACACTGAGTCAGTCTTGGGTTCGAATCTCAGCAAGGGAAAATTTAAACTTTGAAGTACAACTCACTAGCGATGACTAGGGTTTGGTTATTCGAGTATTCCCTATCCATTCATCAGCAAGGTGCATCAGGATGATTAAAGTTCTTGAATCCCTATTACTTGCTTACTTTACAACTCAAACTTAAACCCTACAAAATAAAATATCTGACAAAATCCACCTCAAGAAGCCCCCAAGAGCACTCACATCTGTAAGAATAAAAAAATAATATTTTTACAACACATTTTTTGATTGACATCAGCATGACTGGAAAAAAGAAAATTATGTCAGGCATTGAGATGTTTGAATGTTGATATTTATAATTTACGTAGATTATTTTTGTGAGATGTAATAGATAAAAAAATTATTATTATTTTTTCATGTTATTCGCAGAGTGAATTATTTTGAGGCCTTAAAATTGTGAGACTCGATGAGAAATTGTAATGACTAAATACAAGAGGGGTTCTTATCAAGTTAGGTCAAGCATTGAAATCACACAGTTTCAGATTTCTTTAAGTTAAATGTTAGACAAACAGCAACTTAGTAAGTTCATTATAATTTGAATTAGAAATTGTAACTTTATTGACCAAGTTCATTTCTTAAGCCACCCGATTTTGAATATTATTCACTCTTTCTCTCAGAACCCAAACATTTGCCAATTGAGAGCTATTAAGTTCATGCTCAAAATTATATAAAATTCTCTGGATTTCAGTCGGTGGCCTTGAACTTGATGCACTCTCGATTTGCTCTAATTTTCTACTGAAATCTAAATATTTTTGATTTGTGCAGGATGTTCTAGCTTCCATTGTGATGTTTAAGACTTCATTGCGATTTGAGTGAGCATCCATGTCGATGCATGGGTTTGCATAGAGATGCAGGAACCTTAAGTTATGTAGACCATCGAATGATCTTGCATCTATGTGGAATATCTTGTTTCTAGTCAATGAGAGGAACTCTAATTTTGGACTGGCTCTAAAGAACAGGTCGTCAACAACTTCAATCAAATTGTAAGCTAAGTCAATCTCTTTAAGTTCAGGATATGGAGATAAATCACGATAATTAACTGTTTTGATTGAATTCTTTCTTAAATGAATCAATTGAAGATTTTTAAAGATCCTGTCCACACCCTTTGGGAAGTACTGCAGATATTTATAATTAGCAACAAATCCAAAAACTTGATTATTGATCGGATTGTAGTCTGTGTAAATTTCATGATTTTTCGAATCATAGTCAAGACTTGTAACTACAACACATTGATAGACAACACCTAATGCTTCAGAGAAGTGATAGTTGTAGATGCAGTTGATGTAGCTTGATGAATGGGATGTGTAAATTTGAAGCGAAAGTAGGACTAAAATGCTGAAATAAATAGGAATTAAAATTTTGTTTTTGTATTTGAAGGTCACAAGTTATCAACTTAATTTCTGCACAAGAGAATTGATTTGGTTGATCTTTTGAAAATTTATTATAGTTGTGCATATGCTTACCTTATGATCTTCATATCTTCACATTTATCAACTTCTCAAGTTTCAAAAATTTTACAATTTAAAATTTCAAAAATTAGTTGCTCACCGTTAGAACCGTGACTATTAAATGATCTAAAATACACAAAATTTCATTAAACTTTGCCTCAATAAAATGATTCTCTGAGCAAATATTTCGGCAATTATGTTATCACTAAACCAAAATATTTACTGTCTCATCATATTCTCGTAGGTCAGAAATTAAGACATTAAAAAAAATTCGCATAATAAGAATAAATCGCAAATGGATTTGCTTTAATTTTTTTTTCATTTATTATTTAAAAATGGGGTTTGTTCACTAGTGGCGTCTAAATTTTTCATTTGAAAAAATCTTCTTTTTAGAATTTATGATTCCCATCAATTATCTTTTTTTGATGAACAGCCATACAACTCCTCCAATAATGACAGCACTCAAGACAATCACAAGAATCAAAATAATTTGAAAAGTATTGCCTTCATTTCTTCTCAAATTAGGAAGTAAAGGAGCTACAAGTCTTATTTCATCAGCTTTAGTAATTTTCAAATTTTCCAACTTCTCGTTCAAAGCTGCAGATTCAGAAAAACTGGAACTATTAAATTCAACTTCAAAATTTTCAATCTTCTCTTCCAATTCTTCAGGTTCCAAAAATGCGACTTCATTTTCAAGCTCATTCAATTTCTCATCCATTTCCTTATATTCAGAGCTTATACATTCAATCTTTGCGTACTCAACAACTTCCAAAACTTCACTGCGACTCAAATATGCACCTCTACTTGTGCATGTGTTGGATGTCAAATACAAATATTTTAAATTATTCAATCCATTAAAAACCATTAATCCAATGTGAATGATTTTGTTGTTTGAAAAGGAAACAAAGACTAGATTTGGATTAAAGTCAAAAAGTCCATCTTCAAGCACCTTTATGTCATTGTCATGTAAATCTATTTCCTTCAATTCTGGGAACGGTTTCATATCGGATTGATGAAGTTCTTGGATGAAAGTGAATCGAATGTGAAACAACTGAAGATTTTTGAACACTTTTTCTAGTCCTTTTGGGAAATATTTAATGTACTTATTGTCACTGACGAAGCCAAAGACATCGTCGTTGGATTTTGAGCCGGAATGATCTTGTGATGCTGAAGTGATTGTTGATTGATCCTTTAATGTTATTGTAAGATCACCAACAACTTTACATTGATAGATGCTACCTAAAACATCATAGTGATTATTGGAATACTCGCAGTCGACTTCTCGTGATGTTGCGTTTAGAAGTTGAAATGGAATTAGAAGGATGAAGCTAAAATTGGAAGAATTGAAAGTTAGATTTTGGGAATAATTAGTCAATTTTCTCTCAGTTGGAATTTTCACATTCTTATAACGAAAGTTTGTTTCTGTCGCATTCTAAATAATCCAATAGACCCCCAAAATCACTAATTATGAAGGTCACATATTTTGAAATGTTCAGACTTCGACCTTCATAATCAAATTTTTGTGAAAAACAAAAATCAAAGTGGATTGTGATAAAGCTCTTGCATTGATTAAGATAATTTAAAAGTTTGTGCATCGATTCAAATAAAATGAGAACATGTTCTTAACTAATCTTAACTTAGCATCACTATTAACAGCCATTCCCCTACTCCAACATGGATAAACCGTGCTAAATTCAAATTAAAATCGAAAATACAATTCAAGCATGAATTAAATAATTTAAATTATTTTAAAATTTCCTTACTATAAAAGTATCATTTTATGTATTACTCCTCCTTATTTTGACTGATCAATCCTAATCTTATCAAATACACTTGGCTAAAATTTAATTAATTGAAATAAAAACTCAAGTGAGATGTTTTCAATCAAAAGAACACTTCCATAATGATTAATTTTCATAACGAAATATATGAGAATTCAAATTTATTCAACTTAAACTCTGAGAAGATCACTCTAAATATGGAATAATAAATAAATTAAGAGTTCCAAGTGACCTCGTGTTGACACAATAAATTTACGACTTTGATAAGAATGATGATCTTGTCATTATTTCGCACTTATTCACACTAGTTGAGATAATTGATATTTGTTTTTAAAAATTTTGAATCTTGACGCTAAGGGTTTCCCTTTGTTTATTAAATGATTTTCTGAGAACAATTAAATTATTTTGGAGAATGGAGGTCCACAATAACATGATAACGAAGTCTACAAGTGATGTAATTTAACACTTTATATATTGTGTGAGTCGAAGGAATTTTTAATACAATTTACTCTCATAATCTAAAATTATTGTGAAAGCGTAATACTTTTGGGAGCTGAAATACAACTTTGAATGACGGAACGGTGCTTAATCAAAATTGTAGGTGTCAGATGCGTAGGCAGTGGGAATTTGGGGAAAAATCGTCTTTCATCAACAGAACTTTCTTTATTTTTCAAGCGTTTTTATTGGAAATTTTATTTGACCCTTTAAATTCCTGACTACGGCTTTTATGGTTCCTATAATAAATATTTGTAGTGTGGCAATTTTTCTCGCATTTAATTGACCCCACCAAAAGGGGCAAAAAGTCCTATAATAAGTAACAACAGATTCATATGAATTTTAAATGATTATTCCAATTTTATTCAATATCTATATCCATATGCTGAAAAAAAGTAGAAAACACCTCCAGCAACAGCAATAGCCAACAAGAAAATGATGATAAACATAATTTGTAAAGATGAGCCGTTGCTTGAAGTTCTGTAGCTTGGACGGGGTGGATAGTCTTCATAATAACTGTAGTCTTCCTCAAAATTAGGATCTTCTGTTGTTGTGCTAACTGATTTGGTTGTGGCACTAGGTGCTAGTGTAGTTGGTTCATCCTTATTGTTGCATATTATTTTAGTTCTCGTAACAACCAATTCAACTAAATCTCGATCGTTATTTGCAAACGTATCAATACATTCATTTTCTGTCAAGTACAAGTACTTCAAGTTTCTCAAATTGTCAAAAACACTTGATTCTATTCTGAATATTTTGTTTTTTGAGAACGAGATAAAAACTAGTTTTGGATTATAGTCAAATAGTCCATCCTCAAGAACCGTGATTTTGTTTTCATGCATGTCAAGTTCCTTCAAATTTGGGAATGGTTTGAAGTCTGATTGACTAATTTCATGAATTGACGTGTATCTGATGCGAAAAAGTTGAAGATTCTGGAAAATTTTGTCAAGTCCTTTTGGGAAATGATTAAGGGATTTATTATCAGCAACAAATCCAATCACATCATTATTGTTTTGTAAAAATGAATGCAATCGCGACACAGAATTAACTGTCGCAGTTTCTCTAGAATTTATTGTGAAGGAGCCATCAACCTTGCACTGATAAATTGATCCCATGACGTCATAGTGATGGAAGCTGTAGATGCAGTCAATATGAAGAAATTCGCAAAGATTGAGATTTTGTAGGATTATGAGGATGAAAGTGAACCTATAAATAATAAAAATTCATTAAATATACTTGACAAGACTATTTAATCTTGGATAAACAAGGTTGGTTGTCTGGCTGATCCTATCCAGATTCAATTCCATGAACTAAACTCACCTAAAAACTTCCATTGATATTTTCTTTTTCTTTTAATTTAATTAATTGATAAAAATTGTTTATTTATTTTGAAAAATGCAAAAAAAAAGGAATTTTTGTGTTAACTTTATCAACGCTCTGATTAAAGTGATGAATGAAGTGCTAGACTTTTCGCGTATTTATTCATTTGTAAGTCTCAAAAAAGTCTTATTCTCAGAGAGGATCATCATCATCATGAGAAAGTATCAGATTAGCGCCAGTCATTGATCATGAATCTGTGTTGTTGTTTATTTTGCAGTATTTTCTTTGTAAATTTTATTATTTTTGTTTCTTTGTGAATTCAAATTCTTAAGAAAATTAATAATTAATGAGTCCTTCATTTCTGTCGTTTAATATTCTGTGAAAGTGACGAGGTCTAGCTTCAATGATTATGTGGTGACACTGAACTATCTTGGGGGCCTTCCAGGGGGGGGGGGTCAGCAAGAAAAGAACAATAGAAATTCCATTGGTCTTTTTTGAAAAATGACCGTTAATATCGGACGTCATAAGTGAACGTTATTTGGGAATGAAACGTAAACCAGTTTTGGATTGAATTCAAAAAGTCCAGCATCTATCATTTTGATCTCATTGTTGTGAAAATTAAGTTCTTTTAATGCTGGAAAATGTTTTAAATCACTTTGTTCAATTTCCTGGATGAAATTATTCTGAGCGTGGATTAATTTGAGATTTTTAAAGATTTTTTCCAGTCCAATTGGAAAATATTTTATATATTTGGTGTTTACAACAAAACCTGCCACATCATCATTGCTTCTATAACTGTAATGACCTTGTGATGCTGCAGCAATTGTGGCACTGTCCTTTGTGTCAATTTCAAGGTCACCAATTACATCACATTGGTAAATATATCCTACAACATCATAGTTATTCAATTTGTACTCACAATTCAAATTGGTTGTTGAAGATGCACTTAGAAGATGAAGTATGGTGAGGATGAAGAAGCTGCAAAATTAGGAAAAGTTTGTATTATCAGACGTAAAGCAAGAATAGAAATCAAAGCATTAGCCTTAGCGTTAAGGTCGGTTTTTATGGCTAGAATGTTAATTTTAATTTCTATGGTTTGATGCTTGTGGATGTGATACCTATTTATATAACAGCAGTAACTATCAATTAAGATGTGATACTGCACAGAGAGGTCAATTATGATACTTTTTAAATCAGCTTACCTCAAAAAATTCATCGTAATTTCGTAAAATTCTCAACGACTAAAATTATTATTCTAATAAAAACAAAATTGAAGCTTCTTCACAGATGAGTCCTATTAAAGTGATGTTTAACGCGACGAATTCAATATTTAAATACAAAAGCAGTTCTATCAATTTACTCAATGATAAGAGTAACATTTATGTCAATTTATTCACACTTAGTTTGAAATAATTAAAAATAAGTTGAATTATAATTTTTGTGATGTCTGACTACAGATTAAACCAATTATAAATAAATGAAACCTTAAAGTATCAGCAAAAAGTATTATAACTCTTATCTCCAAGCATATTCATTATTAACTTCTTCTTCTTTCGTCCATTTTAAGTCGAAAAACATTTCTCTTTATTTAGTCTAATTTCACCACATTATTATGTTTTCTTCCCCGAAACTAAAATAAAAAATCAGCCGACATTTCAATTCGACATATAAAGAAGATGAAATGATCTCTTGAGGCCTTTCACGTTATCTGAATTAACCTTTTCAGATGGACTTTAATAATACTCTAATTCACTTCTTACGTCCATCTTAACCCTTTTTCTCTCTCTGTGTTACAAGAATTGCTTTAATGTGTGTTGAAGTTTTTGTTGATGAGATGTTGATTGCGTTGTCATTTTGGTTTGGCTGGGTGATGAGTTGAGGGGGATTTTGAGGAAAATCGAACATTTTTGCAGATTTGCGAGAGCAAAGATTGCAATTTAAGAGGGTTTGGTCCTGCTGGTAATATGTTTCAAATGTCAACTGGTCTAAATGTTGCCTACTTGACGCTTGGCAACAACATACTGCCTTTTTTTTAATAGTAAAGTGGTTTGAATAGTTTTACGATTGTTTTCATACCCAAGGAGGTTTTAAGTTCCAGAGAGTTCTTAATATTCCAGATCCTCCCTTTAAATCTTCTGTCATGCAAGTAGATCCTAATTTCAACTGCCAGACGCTTATTTCTAGTGAATCCATGCCCTTGTCTTTAGTTTTTAGCATAACCAATGACTTCATCATCAAATCCTCATTGCGCTTCAATTGCGACAAGCAAAAAACTACTTAACCATTTAAATTCACAACTTACTAACCCCTCAAACTTCTTTATACATCTTTTCTGTGTCATTCATCGACATATGAAATAGAATTCACTCAACATCGAGCCATAGAAAAATGGATAAATGGACAAGTTAAAAGAAAATAAAGAATAAGAAAAATGACGAGAGAAAATGATACTAATTATAGCTCTTTTTTTGGTCATTGATTCATTGTCCGTCGAGTATTGTAGATGGAAACAAAAGTCAACCAAGACGGCAAGTTCCAAAAAAAGAGAAAAAAAAACTTTTGTTTTCTATTAAAGCGATTCAACTTTAATAACAACATCTTACACACATGACTTGGCTAAAAGAGAATTTATATTCATACATATTTGTAGTAGCCAGCCCGTCAACCGCAAGCAGCAGAAGACCGAAGAGAATGGCATAAAAAAGGGTTAGAAAATGAGCGTTTGGTTGAAAGTGGAATCATTAAAAATTGTTTAAGTATATGTGAGTTTGTGCTAAGCAGGCACATTTTCTAGAATTATAATTATATGCACATTTTTCCAATGATATTTTTGCGGTCATTCTACTTACTTGCTGCTGTGTATACATGTGGAAGAAATTAAATTTATTCTTTTTTTCTACATCCCCCTTTTTGCTGTTCTTATCTTGTGCTGTTGTGCCTTTTTTTTTTATTTCCTATCGGGTCGCAAAAAATGCTACTTTTTCTGGAAAAGGAGACGGAGATAATTCATAGAAGTAAAGGAGGTTGATAGTCCTTTTGAGGGAAGCAAATGTAAAGGATAATTTTTTTTAAATGCTGCTTATTCCTCTTTTGTTTTTGGACAGAGAAGGTCAGTTTGAATGTTTTTAGAAATAGGTGTAAAAGAATTAATTCCAGGTGTGCAAATTTTAAATTCATGATCAATTGTTTTGGAATGTGGATCGACTTTAGTGATGTAGCATTGGTTTTGGTGGATTAAGGAATCAAATCATAAGTGTGCACGAAACCATGAAGTTCAGGAAGATAGCTAGTGATTGTGGTACTCAACTTGATGGCTTAGTGGCTAGCAATGAGGTTAAAACTTTAAAGATCCATGCTAGAAAGCACAAAGACTTATGATTCCAACAGGAAGCAACGAAACCAAATTTTTCTCATACTCTACACCAAGTCAGAATCAAGCCTACCCCCTTAATCGAAAAAGAAACAATTCATCCCAATTCATCCATTAAAGTCCTTAAAATCCAATAATTATCATCCTTAAAAATACACACACATTTTTTTAATGTCACCCAAAAATACTTTTTTACCCAAAAAATACTTTATTTGTGGTTGTCCAAAAAACTCGACACTTTCCTTTTAATTCTTTCACACTTTTTGTATTTTTAAAATGAGACTGTTGGCGAAAGAAAAAGAAGCATTTGTCATCTTGAATGACCATAAAGAATTCCTTTCCCTTAACTTTTATGTCTGGGTCAGTTTTATAATTTACCATAACAACAATAACAAATTGCTGCAACACTAAAAATGAGCAACCCACACTGCTTTAACTTCCTATCATCTCATAATTATTTTGTGTATCGTAAGAGTGTTATGGCAAATTTTATAAATGACCTTTTTTTTCTATTTTGTGTTATTCAACAGATTATTCATAGATAGAAATGTGAAAAATATTTATTTTTGGGGTCAACTATTTTAGTAATTGTTGAGGGTGATGGCTAAAGCAGTTTGGAGGTAGATGTAACTAGGTTGGTGCAGTAGAATTGAGAACAGGTGTGTATTAAGTAGCTAGGTATCTTACTTAGACTAGGGTCGTATCTATAGACTAGGCTAGTTTTTCAAAAATTTATTTTGTTTTTAAAAAATTATGAAAGGATGGTCTCGCTGCAGAGCTGAATCTGGTTAATCGTGTGATATATTATTGCATTTGTCAGTGCAAAAGTTATGCCTCAATGACCGAATGGCTAGGCATCCGTCCAAAAATCTATAAAATCTACAAATCTTTGTCAGGACTTAGATTCGATTCCCAAGCATGACAGATTTTTAAATCATTTGAGTACAGGAGTTATGCCTGGCTAGTTTATAATTAATGAGTCTTACCTTATAACTAGACAATTGCGCTCATGACACCGAATGAACAATCAGTGACATTCCAACTTATATCCCTTGATTCACTTAAAGATCAACTCATGGAATTATTTTAATTTCCTAAAGTTTTATTCACCCAGGATATTTACTAAATATTTTCTTAAAATTCCATGATGTCTTAAAACTTTCAATTCTTTCTTTCTCATCTTAAAATCCAGCATAGCAAAAACTGTTTCTTTCCTATCCAAAACAACAAGAAAACACATCCTCATAAGTGAAGTGAATGAGAGAACAAGTTTTGTGCTTTATTAAAGTACCATTAAAGATTCTTTAAGTACATTTTAAATCTATAAAGTGAGTGGAGATAGGAAAGAAGATGAAACAATAACAAAAATAAACTTTCGTAGATTGTTGGATGGAAAACAGGAAAGTTTTTTTAAGAGCTCTAAAGTTTTGTTGAGAGAATGAAAAGTTTTTTGGTGTTTAAACTGCAAATTTAAACATGATTTTTTAAATATTGTTGCTGGATAGCTTTGAGGGTATTTGTTGAGGAGTTTTGATTAGTTTTCTGGAGTTTTTGGGAGATTTTTAGAACAAAATACTTAACCTTAATCAGTTGCCTTAATAACCATTCATACAGCCTTAAATAAACTTAAAATCTCTTCAAATCCCTCAATTCTCCTCACATCAACTTAAACTCCTCCATTTTACCTTATCATCTCCATCGAATTGCTCAATCCCATCCACAAAGACAATCTAAATCCAAATCACATTTTAAAATTTTCCAAAAAAAAACCTCTTCAGCTTCAGACACATTTAAATCCATCCAATCAAAATTTCACTTTTTCCCAATATATTTTCAAAAACTCGTTAAACAAAAGAAATCTAAAGGATTAAAAATTAATTCAACAGATTTAAAAAGTTTTCAAATTCAATTTTCCTTTTTAATCTTATTTTTAAAGAAAAAAGTTTCGACTCTCACAAAGCCCTTTTGCTCAACAGCAGCATCATCTTATTGAAGTTTATTTATATTCACGGTGAAAAAAATATATCAATCATAAACTTAAACAATATTAAAGTGATCCATGCTGCATTGTTTGATTGTGAATAAAAAGAAAAGAAGAAGGAAGAAAAAAAGTATTCAGACGATAAATCCGACTCATAATATCGATTCACAGACTGATTATCATCATTTTTCATATTGCCTCTTGAGTCTCTTTTAGTTTGTCTATTTTTTGAAGGGGTCTGGTATTTTGTGGAATAGAGTTGGATGGGATTTGATTTGTCTTGATGTCAGGATGATGCTTTGATATTTAAGGAAGTTTATTACACGAGGATCTTAGCTAATTTCTCAAGATTGAGCATTGGGTACATGCAACTATGAATATGTTGCTTTGGTTTGGGATTAATGGAAGTTTTTCGATCAGCACACATTGAAATGTTTGCCACACAGCAGCTAGGTTGATAGTACAATTAGAACCTTGCAGCAGCTTGGCTCCATTTATAAGTTCAACCAGGCTTCCGAATGGCAAGCATTTCAATAAATTTCAATGTGTTCCGATCAGGTTTAGGATAGTGAGAAAATTACTTGAATTTAAACACAAATTTTTGGGAATCGATCTTGATTCAACAATATTAGATGCAAAATTCACTCATCCTCTAAGCAACTTCTCTCTTAACTTTCGCTTAAAATCAATTTAAATTTTTCCAAAGCGCTTTGGTCCTAACCCTAGTCTACACAAATCAAATCACACAACAATAAAATAAAAATAAGAAAAAAAGTTGAACAAATCCGACGTGTGTGAGGTGTTTATAGTTTTCAATCCCCCCCTTTCTGTTCACAGAGCCATGGGCTTAAACAACGAAGCAACTGAGCAATTGAAGATTCAATTGAACCACAATAACAAAAGAGTCTTACACAAAAAAAGAAAGAAAAT